TATTAGATGAAACAGCCGTAAATCCAAGCGAGAAAATTCTTAATCGAAAGTTGTACATCAAAATAATTACAAATTTCAATAACGCAATGATAGACTTAACGATAGACCTAGTGTTAATATTAGGAAGATAACACGGTGCGAGAATAATTCTTCAAGTGTTAAGAATTAAGGCCATTTTCATTTATACGGCTGAACATAATGGCCCGCATGTATCAAGCGTTATCGATGCAGCCTGTAAGCTTTTAACAACGTTAAATATAACGTTTTGTCGAAGACAGGATAATATACGTGCAAACTGTCGTATGATCTTCTCGACTTATCGTCCCTGATAAAAGCGGTGGAAATATGGCGGACGCGACGCAACGAGTAATTTGCACGAAGAGAAATGATATTTCAGCACGATTTTATCTGACAAGATCTAAAATGATGCAAAGTCGAAAGGAACGAGCGAGCCGAAGAAGAAGAAAAACGAAGGGAACGAAGTGGAAGAAAATAAGAAACGAGACGCGACGGGTTAAGAAGTGGAGGAAAGGCGGGAAAATTTTGAATGGCAGCCAAGTCATTAAACGAACCTTGACCTCCTCGTGGTGCAGGTTCGCACTCTAATTAATTTCAAGTCTACGCACGCCTATCTCTCTTTCTCCCTCTAGGCAATGTTTATATGCTAGAAGTTGATAACACTTTGTTACATCGTATACATGCGTAATGGAATCGAAGTCCGGAGAGGATCGCTTTACGATCGTCATTAGCATCAGCTGGTTTCCCAGCCGGGTAGTGATAAAAAATCAAGATACGGAAATTAGCTTCTTTTACCGCGACTTCTGGGAATGCGTTTAAGCAAATTTTTATACAGCTTCCCGGAATAAAAAGAATCTTGTCCGTCGAGGTATTAAAAGCCAATGGTACAAGATGGCGATTAGCGCCGAGACAACTTCTGCTTTCCCAATCAGTCGGATTCGTCGAAAAGTCAGCCGATTAATTCGACGTTTTATAGGAATCGTCGTCGGATATTTCCTCGAATAGTTCCTTCGTCTCCATTTTTCCTCGTGACCGATAACCGGGAGCGACCTTACTAAAATCCCACGATCTAAGATCCTTTTACGATGTTAATCCTGTCTCGTTTCTTTTTCGCGCTACCGTCGAAACGGCCGGATAAAGAGTGTCGAAACACATGTTCGCCATTAATACGTTTCGAAATTGACCGGCAGGATAGGGAACGGGGAGCGTTGGTATCGATAGCTTGCCCGCGTGCCGCGTCCATTTGTTTGCAAGAAGAAGAGATATGGTACAACGAGATTCGCGGTTAAAGCAGAGTTGAAGGTCGTTGGGAACTGGTTAGGGTGGGTATTCTGCTCTCGTGGTACTACACTTTGGTGGCCGAATCGTGTTCAAGTAAGTCAGGGTCATGCAAACCGTGTTTCTGTGCTACCGATATAAAAGTGGGAATTCAGTGACGCGTATTTACCACACGTCCGACCACGCTTAATTACGCATACCGAAGCTGTCGATTTTTCGACCAACACCGATATTCCACGGTGTGCTCTGTAAACACCACGTGGCGTCGCATCTGCGGCTGGAAGGAATTACGGAGTTAGGCAATCCACCTTGCTTTTGGTAATACAGATTCGTAAATTCTCGCGTTTGTCGAATACTTTCGATCCAGTTGTTGAAATCATAGTTATCGAAAGGGTCTTTGATTATCGAATCACTTATTCCAGATATTCTATTTTTGTCATTACTCCGAGCTTGCAGCTGCTTTTGGTAAAGATGACGTTAATCTCTGCTCGCGTAAGGGCATATTTAATTATTATTTTCTACGCATATGATGTATAAGTCGGTAGTTCCTGTGTTAAGTGTTGGTTAAAACGATCGAATTTTGTTATGGAATTTATCATAAATCCAACAATTGCTGTATAAATGCTAACGCTATTTTGGTAAAGAATATTGTTGTGTTTTAAACGCAGATTTTAAATGTAAAAATAAGTCGAAAAGGAAAGACAATATTTTCTTTATCTGAGACCTCGTTTTTCAAGAAAATCGAGGTTAAAAATTCGTGGACTAAGCGTTGTTTTATTTGTGTCTTATCCCTATGAATTTCATTGTGATTTGTCTCTATTTGCATTTGCAAATATTTTCAGTGTTTCCAGACTTATGGAAATTCACTCCGTGAATTTTCAATCTAGATTTTTCCAAAGGCTAAGCTCTATTCTTCATTTCTTAACTACTTAATTCTTCTAACCAATTTGCTCATCTGTTCGACCGATTTTAATAAGATACAGGAACGTCTGGATTTCATCCTGTAGCGTCGATTTCCATCGCTTTTGCCAATTTAATTTCGTTACGAAATCGCGAGGAAAATATTCCCTGGAAAATTACTTTTCGTAGCTTATCAAAAGCACGTATAACGATTAGATTAAATTCTGCAATTTCCAGCTTTTCTTCTTATCTAATCTCGCAGATACCTAGAAAATTCTCCTTGTTACGTCATGGCGATGTAGAAAGAGGAAGATCCCTGAAGTTCCTCGATGCTATACTTCCTGCGACGAATGTCTGGATTTTCTAATGTATCGCAAGGAAAGCTGTTCGTTTGGACAAAAAGCAATTCTCATGTGTTTTCTCTTTAGCACATGTTTTCTCGAAGGACGAAACGAAGAATTCTCATATCGCGCGCTCGCTTCGTACCGCGGTATTCTTGTTATGTAACAGAAAGATTAATTATGTCTTTTCGTCTCGCTTTTCCGCGGCTTTGTCTTTCATCGAAGGAAAAAAGGAAGGCAAGGAAAAAAGGAGAAGAAAGAGAAGAATAAGAAAAGAACGCTGCGAGAAAGGAACGCGAACCACGCGTTTCATCCGGGTTTCGTGCGTCGATACAAGGAAACACGGCCTTTCGAAATGGCGGGAAAGGTTTTTGCTAAAGTTGACAGGTTTTTCGTCGTTTGTTAATGCACAGGACAGCCTTCTGCGAACCTTACTTCAATCAGATGAACGATCACAATCAAAACCAAGGTTTATTTATTCTTCTACGATATTCCCTCGCGATTCGATCGTTTTAAAACACTCTTTTTATACCCTATAACATTCTCTTTTTACGTCCACCTATTAACTAAAGATGCGTATTTATCCAATACCTTTTTCCATTTACGATGTATAATTTAGGATTACGCAATTTCAAGCGAAACCCACGATTCCATAGTGATCTTGCTCGAAGAAGGCACACACCGTCTCCCAATCCCAAGGTTCCCTTAAAATTGCACATTTTCGTACGGAAAATTATTCTTCTGTCGGTACATTCGTTTTCTTAACGCATTTACATAACGGAATTTTCTTCCAAGTAAAAACGAATCTGATTCACCTTCCAATTAATCTCACTCTCGATTCTAGCTATTCCAACCGGACTCTCTTCCTAATTCAAATTCATCGTGTCAACTCTTCAAACCGTGTACTCATATGCTCGACAGATATCGTGCTCAGAAATCCGTGACGAGCCGTGTCTCATCGTTTGTGACAATCGGCAATCGAATATTCCAAGTTGACCGAGTGAAATTGCTCGATTCCACGCGGTTTCCATCATCCGCGCGTAAACAAGCGCTCCGCGGACTTAGCGCGGCACACTAGCGCCGCCGTGGAAGAAAGTAGTTTGAGAAACGCTGCCAATGAAACGAAGATTCGGGAGGGGGCAGGGCGCGGAAAGAGTTAGCGAACGAGGTGAAGGTATTGCGAGCGCCGCTTAATTGCGATGCACGCCGTACGACACGTGTCACAGCATTGTGCGGCCGGTCACGCATTCCCATCGATTACATCGACGACAAACGAATTTACAAGCGCAACTGGAACGTGATTCGCGAACGCTTCAATAAGGCCTTTCCAAATGGAAAAAGAAAAGAAAAGATAAAGGAAAAAGAAAGGATTCCCTTTAAACTGCACGATTCGTGACGAGGTCTTCGCACGCCCCTTCATACCAATGAACGGCCCGTTATAAATCGCTTTTACAGAAATACGCGCTGTTGCACGCGCGCCACCGTCCATAACTATCAGCCCGTAATATACGAGGCGTTCCTTCTGCACCTCGAAACGAAAATATCTTGTCTACCTTCGGCGAGGTGGTTTCCTCAGGTATCTCGAGTTGAAATATTTTTCACGATAAATCCTGCAGTTTTGAATCTTATCTCTATGCCAGAGCCGTGAGAACATTTAGCAAGGGATAGGGTTGTTTTGCGTAGAGAAGACGTGGCGATCGAAGTCCCCGATAATCGAACGCGAATTTATTTCGCAGCGATAAACTTCCATTATTTATACTTACATCTATTTTTAAAAAATAACGAGAAGAGAATACGAGGAAAGTCCATGGAATGTTTAGAATGGTCGTAAATACAAATTTATTCTACCATAAAAATTTATCAGTTTCTTAAAAATAATACGTGAAGTCAGAAATGTAAATATACGACGTGTAAATACGACGTGTGGTATACTTTAAAGAATATTTAGGTGAGGAAAGAAAGGTAGTTTCCTTTAGAAATTCTCAAATAATTACACATAGGCCAATTTCTTATAAATAATTTGTGTGACTCCTCCCTACGGGGGTTAGAATGAAGTCTTTGTGGTTCTTACGGTGCTGCCGGCTGGTATCCTGATACCTGTCTTGGTACGATAGGTAGCAGGTAGAAGGACGCAAGGAAGGGATGCGTTTTGTCCTGGGCCTGCTAGTGGATTCGTCAGTAAGGCTTTCTAGCAGGCCCTGTTTTAGACAAGGGATACTTAGGTAGCACAGGAACTTGTATTTATGGGAGTCGAGGATTCACCGAGGACTTAGGAGTAACCTCGAACCTCCATTTTCCATTTAGCTGTGAGGGTGTGAACGCTGGTCACTGCAAACTCTCAGCCGACTTTGAATCACCGTTCGCTCCAACCCCTAATCCAAATCTTATCTATTCAGATCTATGTTAAATAAAATTTGAAAAACAGGAAACGTATTAATGACGGATGAACCGATGATGTTACAGGTAGCAAGCACGTAGGATGGTAGCCTCACAACACGACGGTACCAGAAGTGTCGGTGGCGGTGGTGGCGGAGATGGTGGAGGCGGCGGTGGCGAGGAGACGGTGTACACGGTGACCGTGAGTGGTGTCGGTTACAGGAACGAGGGCTACAAGGACGATGGTACCGACGGTATACCTCCTGAGCCGCAGAAACCACCGCAATTATCGTCCACGGACGACGACACCCAGTCCAGAAAGTTCAAGCTCTCCCGCGGCGAGAAATGGCGGATCTTAAAGAACATTAGCACCGTATCCGTGGCGTTTATGGTGCAGTTCACCGCGTTTCAAGGCACAGCGAACCTGCAGTCGTCGATAAACGCCAGTGACGGTTTAGGCACCGTGTCCTTATCAGCGATTTACGCGGCGTTGGTGCTCTCATGCATCTTCGTGCCCACCTTCGTTATCAAAAGGCTCACCGTGAAATGGACATTATGTGTGTCGATGCTGTGTTATGCACCGTACATCGGCTCGCAGTTCTATCCGAAATTTTACACCCTGGTGCCTGCTGGCGTGCTGCTTGGATTGGGTGCCGCACCCATGTGGGCGGCTAAGGCCACCTATCTCACACAGGTCGGTGGCGTCTACGCGAAGCTCACCGATCAGCCGGTAGACGCCATCGTTGTCAGGTTCTTCGGCTTCTTCTTCCTTGCCTGGCAAACTGCTGAACTGTGGGGAAACCTCATCTCTTCGCTGGGTAAGTGATGGCCTTATTTATTTTCTCCTCTTTGCTCTTTCTCTCTCTCAGCTCGCTCTAGGTCTGCGTATGATGAAATTCTGGAGTTTCTTTCATTTTATTTGCGAGTACGTATTATATGCTTAGACTGCGTAGAAGCTGCGCGTGTAAAAGTTTCGAAGAGAAATTGGATATTATCGAATGAGTGTTATAAATAGAAACGAATGCATCGCGTCGTAGTAAATTGTAGTTAAAGTTATATTTAATTCGCGGGTAGCAAGAGCCAGTAGTACAAAACGATGGTGATAAATTCCATGAATTATCGTTTAATAGTAACCTACAGAACAGCGCAGTCGCCGTATTGCATAGAAATGCATACATTCACCGTGGCAACAGAGGAAAATCCAGTAGAAAACATTCCACGCGTTAAATACCTACCCACCAATACTATAAATCGGCTCTAATTAACCGTACCGTTAGGTTAAACAGTGTCTTCCTCATCGAATATGCACGAACTTTATCCACCTCGGAATCACCTTCGACAGTCGCCTCCATTCTATCCCAAAAAATAAAGGGAAAGAAAGATAAGATACCATCAACCACCGACTTCTCTATTCTACTTCTGCTTAATCGCTCCATAAATTAATTCCGCCTAACACGTGTTCAAAAGACCCTTCCTGAGAAGCATTTAAAATGCAAATGGCGAAGCCCATCTCATCCGAACATCTCCCAATCGCCGAGCACGTTTCGAATGCACGATTCCTAGACAAGTCCCGAAGGTCACGCGGAATCGGTGTCAATATCATTCTGTTTGTCATAAATTTGGTGATCGAGTCCCTCTATCCCTGTCTACGTCATATCGACTGTCATACGTGCGATCTACCTAACCTGATGGCCACATCGGCGAGGTGCGAGACACTCGTGAGATCGCACTGCTTCGTAAACAGCGCACGGTTGAGGCACACACACGCACGATGTGCGTAGCAGTGATAATACGTGTGTAGTCAGACAGTCGGGCCAAATATTCGGTCCTTTCCCTGACTGGCTAGCCGGCTGGCTGGCTGGTTAGCTGGCTGGCTTAGCAGGCCGATCGGTTGGCGAGATCGACAACACGACTCTCGCGCCTGCTGCTAACGTTCTCCATGGACACACTCGGGTTTCAAGCGGGTCTGACTGACAACGCCGGCGAGAGACTCGGCGAGAAAGATAGTGGCATTAGAGGAACGGTGACGGAGAACGCTTCGCACGCGGGAAGAAACAAGATTTATCCGGTATAAACCCGTGATAGTCGGTTTCCGTACCACCTCGTACGCATTCCCCGATACCGGGCGGCGGTAGCGCGCGTTTTAACCGTTTTCTATGATTCGAACCGTTCGATCGTGCGATCAGCGCTTCCTCCCGGCGGCCAACGGCACTTCCGTTTACTCCACTCGACTTTGCACGCGCGTCGCGGTCCAGTGTACCCTCGACAGCTGCTCCGGTGTACACGTTTCAGGCAAACCGATGTTGGTCTACTTCGCCTTTTCACCTTTATTTCTCTCTCACTTTCCGTTTTTTCCCTTTTCTCTCTGCCTTTTCCTTTGCTTTTCCTCCATCGGACGTTTTATAGTTTCTGCAAAATCCATCGGCCCGTCAAGGTCACATCTATCACCGCGAACGATGTTGCAACGATCCTTTTAACTCGGTATACGTTCGAGTCGGAGTAGTTGAATGGGACATGGTGGGGGTTAAGTGTTGACGGCCTTGAGTGGTCGATTGATTTCGAACAAACTATAGGCGCGCCTCGCTGAAACCTGTTTTCGTCCAGTTTCTTCCGATTTCTTAGAGACTCTTTGGAGAATTTGTGCTGCTGGATATGTACCGGGATATTACGATGTTTCGCGATCGGGGCAGAGGAAATCTTGAATCGCTAATTTTCTAGTACGTTCTTGGGCAGTGGTTCGCAACGCGGTATAAACACCACGGTAAAACCTGTATTTCAAGGCACGATACGCATGTGCGCGATTATCGAAATGCGATAAATGCACCCGCGAAACAATGAGTAATCGCGCAAAAAGGCAAGACAATGACTCGTCGTTGCGAGTGTATAATTTTTTTCATAAACATACGTTCCTTAATTATATTTAATTTATACCCTTTCGCGGTTTAATCGGAACTAATACTTGCATTATACTCGTGATGCATTAACGGGATGCTTTTAATGAAGACGTACAAGTATTTCCAGCCTCTCATCGTGCATTTCTCAAGTTCTCGAGGAAATTAATCGAAACGCTTCAACGGCGCCATATTTATCAAATGCTCGAGCAGGCTCCCATTTTCTCGCGAATATACAGGGTGTTAAGGAACAAGGATCCGAGATTTAATGGCGCGCAATATTCACTAACGCCGGGAAAATCTATTTAATCGACTTAGAATTTCAAATTAATTTTTTCCAAGTAAAGAGCAACCTTATATGCGCGAGTGATGCGAGTTAAATGGAAACGAATTAAATGTAAATATAATAATCACAGGAGCGTAAGAAGTGTATTACCAGCGTGAAAAAAAGTATCGTTGCGGGGCATAAAACTTATTCCCTCTTCTACAAGAATTATTTGACATGTCTTTTCACAAGTCACACACGACATTTATGTATGTAAAAGCTTCCATTCATTTCATTTTTCCATCGTATATTACATACCCGTGCAATCGCGTTATTTATTATCATCGCGTAAATTAATCTTCACAAGTGTTCAGGTAAGAATGTATGAAGTCATGTTATATACCGTAGGTGCCGATCTTAGAACCTGTATATCGATTCATTTTTTTATTCTTCTTAGCATATACCAGTAGCTCTCAAAGTCTTGGTTCCGTATTTTTTAACGGACCCTATATATTATATACGGGACCGTTTTCAATCAACGATACAAGTTTCGGTCCCCAATTTAAAATCTCTAATCTCCGATCTAAGATCATCCACGAATATTCCCGATTCGAATATCCTCGACTTTAATCGGGTATAATCAAGGCTAACCTAAAAATAATAGTTGCGAAAACATCCGCGTGATGGCGCTTCTTAAATTTCTGAACTTCGCGCGTGGAAATCGCGTTCCGATCACACATATACGAGTTTTGCACACGCGTAACAGTAGAATATATTACAAGCCAATAAGTAGGACTTGCGGACAATCGGAAACGATGGTGGGAGACATTGTAAACATAGTATGATATTATCAACGACGCTCCGGTGAAAGTTCCTGTCGTTCGCCGTCCGATGACCGCGTATGCGGATTGGCCAATGTAAATTCCAGAATGTCGATACGTTTCGCGTCTTATAATTCCCATTTAACGCGATATTTGCATGTTTGACAAATGAGATCGGCCGAGAGATGGTCGACGGAGAAAATGGGGATTTTTCGCGGGAAATTTAAAAAGTCGAGATCCGTTAGGCAAACACAGAAGCCCGAGGAAGCGATAAGCGACGACATCTGCAGAAATACGATAGATTCTGCGACGATATTCGGCAATAAATTGTCCCTTCAGCGTAAACGCGGCGTCACGATCAATCTCGATCGACGATCGGCCGGTTGGAACGAAGAAATTTCTCGATTATCTCCAACCTTTTCGACTATCTTTATTTCCTATCTCGTCCTTTCTTATCAGCGCACGCGTGCCTAGTGAAATTTTTTCCATGGCCTCGGTGAATATACACGCGGCGCGAATGGTTGATAGATCGCAATCAGATGCATAAATAGTTGCATACACGCTGCTTGATTGTTTGCAAAGTTAAGCAGGATCTTGATAAATCGATGAAAGATTTATGCCCGCCGTGATAAAATGCGTTTCGTTTAGGCACTTACCTCTTCGGTTAGAATTTTCTGTGAATTTTATGTAACGGGTGTTACGATACGCGAGTAACATTCGGTTCTTGCTATTCGATAAACGTCGATATTGTACTACGCGCATTGTTGCAACAGAGTATATCGTTTTATCCATGAACTACTTCTTTATCCAGAATTTCATCATATAACATGATACATATTTCCATATATCCATATATTAAATAATATAATAATAATAATAATAATAATAATAT